CTGAATGCCAGCCAACGTGGCTTTGTCACTGGAAGGTCTTGCCTGACCAGCCTTGTCACCTTTTATGACCAGGTGATGCATTGCCTCGATAAGGGAGACGAGGTTGATGTTATATACCTGGATTTCAAGAAAGCCTTTGACCTGGTCTCCAATGATGTCCTCATGGTTAAGCTAGGAAACTGCAGCCTTGACCTTCTCACTGTCTGATGGCTGGGGAGCTGGCTCTGGGGTTGGACTCAAGGAGTACTAGTTGATGGGAGAGAAGCAACGTGGTGCAGGGTGACCAGTGGAGTCCCTCAGGGCTCAGTTCTCAGACCAGTACTAATGGCCACAAACTCCTAGAAAGACCATTTTAGATTGAACATGAGGAAAAACTTTGCAGTCCAAGTGTCCAGGGTCTGGAACAGACTCCCCTTGGAGGTGGTACAAGCACCTACTCTGGACTTTTTTAAAAGGTGTTTGGATCTTTATCTTGCTGGGATCATTTGATCCCTGCAGACTTCCTGCCTCTGGCTGGGGGGCTGGACTCAATCTTGCAAGGTCCCTACTGCCCCCTAATGTCTATGAAATCTATGGATCAGTTGTGTCATGCTGGGCAATCAAGGAGGCACTCTGCAAGAGGGAAGACAGGCAGCTGGCCCTATATTGTAACCCCATGACAGGCATGTGGAGGGGGTTTCAGTTCCTGGTATCATGGTATTTTTGTCTCCTGAGAAATGTTTCATGTTAGGCCCCTGGGAGGGTCACATACCTTTGCACTTTCACTATTTATTTTTAATATTGCATAATAAAGGCTTAAAAAGGCCCACTTCTTCCTTCCCTTCCTCCTCTCTGTCCTATCTTTACTGTAGTTAGCACATGCTTAGTAGAGATTTTTTTAGGGTATATCTTTATTTATCAAGGCAGTGCCATGCTGGGAACTAACAGGAATCATTTGAGAGTTACCACACTTGCTCTGTGCACGCTGTCTTGGCGCACAGCATTGCTGTGTTCATTTTGTATACTCTCAGTTTGGAAGATAAAATCTTCTGAGATTCCACCTGTATGAGCTGCGTGGAGGATCATAGGACCCATGAGCCTGTGAAGAAAAATAGAATGCGCTGGTTAAAATCTCTGTCCTCATCTGTGCCCCAGAGGACAAGTTAAGGTTGCATAAGCCTTTAATTCTAACATTTTGACTTTTAAATGCTTGACTTTCCAATCATAACTTTCTTTTAACATACTTGGTACAATATATGATGCCCAAGTCTCTGGATTTGTCTCTTATTAGTGTCACATTTTCTTGTAAATTCATTTGTATCTGAGAAAATGTTTGGAATATTCAGTGCTGGTTTTCACGGAACAAGATTCTTTTAACCTCAAAAGAATCTAAATGACTAAAGTTCCAAAAAGTTGTCTTGGTATTCTCTGCTCTCAGGTTTCTGCTCAGTTGGTTTAAAATGTGTGTAAATGTTAAGTTCTGCAGCACACTTCCCTGTTGTATTTTTATTTATCTATACGATTCAACCTCTGATTTATTTTTCTTATCACTATAGTCTTATTTTGCTATTTTGTGATTGTGCCTGTGAGAAATGGTTTATATTGGTTTAATAAGTGGTAGTCGCCTGAATTGGGGCTGTTCAGCTTTTAAACATCCAGGGACTGTGTGCTCAAAGGCCGCGCTGAAGTGAGCTATAGGGGCCCCCTGGGCTGCATACCATGCCCCCTGGCTGTCGGCTGGCCCAGGCTTAAATCTTGTATTTCTAGATAGTGCTTCAGTGCAAACATATTTAACAACACAATGTAAGGTAGCATCTTCCTCGGTGATTTTTCTACTTCAGGAAAGGTAGTAGTAAAGAAAATGATAAATATTAGACTGAGACATTTTAATAACATTTACATTATTCATTATTAAGATATTTGTTCATCTTAAAATATTAACAGGGGCTTGAAATAAGATTTTATGAGACCTGTTCTGGGGACCCCATAAATCCATTTAATTTTAAGTGCATGTTCTGTATTGAGTGAAATTCAGTGCTTTATAGAGGGCTAACAAAAAGCCTACATTTCACTGAGGTCTTCCAAAGTGAAACTTTGTGAGGCCATTTATTATGAAGCTACAACTGTTGCCTCTCTTGTATGGTGATATGAATTATCAAGTATAAATTTTATCAACATTTTTTGTGAAATTGTAATTTTAGAATTCTTTTTCTGAGCTAACATTGTCATTTTCACCTGTTTATCAGGAGACGATAATAAAGAATTAATGTTCAGTAGATGTGTTCCCTATACCACATTCATGTTTTAATCTGGAACTAGCACTTTCACTGTTGGAAAGGATTTTTTCTATGGGTGCACCGTTAAAGATTTTTTTGGGCTCATACTGATGGCCGATTATTAACTAGCCATGTCGGCCAATATCGATCTGATTGCTGATATGCAACCCAGCAGCTTGAAAAGCAGCGTCCAGCAGGTAAATCTTTGGGGGAAGGGACTTGGGAGGGACAGATCGAGGCCTCTGCAGTGAGGGAGGGGAGTGGGTCTGGGGCAGGGGCTGCCCAGCTGGGGTAGGATGGAGTGTGGGATGGAGCCATGGTTGGCTTGTCCAGGGTGGAGGGCAGCTCCTACTGCTGTGTACGCCCCAGGGAAGGCCTGGGGGGGCATGTGCCCCCCAGATCTGTGCGTGGGGTGAGGGAGGGCTACCTGCTGCAGGTTCAGGGCTGGGGTCTGCACCAGCCTCTTCCCAGTGTGGGGACTGGGCCAGGGCAGGCAATGATGCTGGGG